TTTTAAATTTTTTAAATTAATTTTTTGGCGATTTTTCTGCAAACCGCCTGTAAGCACTAGTATATATTCACAATCCCTAGTTTTCCCCATTTACTTCGTCACTGTTTTCTTTTTTCATCTTCTGGTTTCACTCCTTCTTCTCCACCACTTCACATTCGCTTTTCCTTCTTCCCTTCTCATTTTCCCTTCTTAGCTTCCCTTCTTCTTATTCAAACATCTCACCATCTTCTAAGTTCTTTCAATCCTTCTCCAATCGTTATTGTCGGCTCTCACTCACTACCTTCCTTCGTCACTTCTTTAGGTTAGATCACTCTTTTTCTTTTTTTTTTATCTCTTTGTAGTTTGTATCGCTTGTTTGTTCTTTCACACATGCGAATCAAATTTGTATGAACTTAATCGATAGCCACAAAAAGCACAACCCTATGTCTTGCACGAAACCACCCGCGGCGGTGAATCCAGTGTTGGCAGAGCTGCCAACAACGTAACCCGTAAGCTATTGATGAAATTTAATTTGTTTCTATTGATGAAACTTAATTTGTTTTTTTAAAGCATTTCTAACACTTCCGATTTCTATAATGATAAGGGTTTCTCTACTAGAATCTCAAATAGCACTACTCTAGAAGGAGCAAGCAATGGTTTATTTAGGTGGTATAATTGTTGGATTTGAAATTGAAAGCATTGATGATCTAATATACTTTGCAAATGCATTTGGAGCAATCCAATTAAGGTATGAACTGGAACTACTTCTTACTTGTACACTGTTGCCTCTGAATTTTTTTCATTATTATTTTGTTGTTGTGAAAGCATTATATGGCTTGATTCAAGATTCACGACCATTCATGTGATGCTATTGTAATGATTTCTTAAAGTATGAGTTCTTTGATATTTAGGAAATTTTTTTTATAGATGTACTTGCAGTTCTTGATAGATGATGGAGCACTCTGCCTCCATTACATTTTCCTACCATGTCAACATCAATCTTTCCTTTATTACAAGAATTGCTACACGAAATTTATTTACCGTTTTTCTTTTCATTTAGTTTTTTGTTGGGTTTCTGTGCTTTTGATCGACTGAGTGGATTCCACAATTTAGGTTACAAATTTTGAGTATGTTGTTAAGGCTGAAGCTGCAACAGAGGAGGTTGTAGGAGTTTAGTGTCATGGGAAAAGGGAAGCGTAACCAGAAGCTGGTATCTAATCCTATTATTTATGCCATTGTTTTCTTTAATTTATTTATGCTTCTTTTATNAAGGATTGAGCAACTTCAGTAGCACTATAAGGATGTTTTAAGGACATGAAGTGAGCAGCTTTACTTAATCTGTCCACCACCACATATATAACTTGTTTACCGTTGGATGGTGGTAAACCTTCAATAAAATCCATGGTGATATGCTGCCATATCCTCTCTGGTATTGGTAAGGGTTGCAGCAAACCTGGAGAAGCAGATGTGTCATATTTGCATTTTTGACAGATCTCACATGTTAGTACAAACCGACTAACATCTTTGGTCATACCCCGCCAATATACTACTGATTTCAACCGTTTTAATGTAGCATCCCTACCAGAGTGGCCACTAGTAGAACCTGCATGTACCCAATGCAATAACTCATTTCTCAAGGCACCATCTTTCCCTACAACCAATCTGCCTTTCCTTCTAAGTTCATTTTGAGTCCAAGTATAATGTTTATGTGAGGAAGTATCTTTTTGTAATTCCTGGAGCAGTTTTTGAATGCTCACATCATTATGCCAAGAAGCTATAATTCTAGTCAACATGTTGCTTTCAGGGATGAGATTTGTGATAGCTTGGCAGTCCACAATTTCTTGTCTAGATAAAGCATCGGCTGCTACATTTTCCCTGCCTTGTTTGAATTCAATTGTAAAATCAAATTCCATTAACTTCACCAGCCATTTCTGTTGGAATGCTGTAGTCAATCTTTGACTCAATATATACTGCAAGCTTCTATGGTCTGTGCGGATAACAAAGTGTCTATTCAACAAATAATGCCTCCATTTTTGGACTGCGAAAACCACTGCTAGCAATTCTTTTTCATAGGTGGAAAGTGATTGTTGTTGGATATTGAGAATCCGGCTAATAAAAGCAATTGGGTGGTGATCTTGCATCAGGACAGCACCAATTCCCGAACCTGAAGCATCCACCTCAACCACAAACACCTTAGAAAAATTAGGTAATGCTAATACTGGAGATTGGGTCAAACAATCCTTGAGAGATTGAAATGCAGCCTTGGCCTCCTCAGACCAATAGAAACTATCTTTCTTCAACATATTAGTCAATGGTCGTGCAATACTACCATACCCCCGAACAAAGCGTCGATAGTATCCGGCAAGTCCCAAAAATCCTCTCAACTGTTTCAAGGACGTTGGAATAGGCCAATTCTGGACAGCCAAGATTTTTGCAGGGTCGGTGGATACACCCTCCTTTGTGATAAAATGGCCTAAATACTCAACTCGTTCTACACCAAAGTAGCATTTGGATTTCTTAGCATACAAAGAATTTTGGCGCATAGTCAATAATACGCTATGCAAATGCGAAAGGTGATGTGGAAGATCCTTGCTGTATATTAATATATCATCAAAGAACACCAAAAGAAAGTGTCGCAAATAATCCTTGAAAACATCATTCATGAGACCTTGGAAGGTGGCTGGAGCATTAGTTAAGCCAAATGGCATAACTAAATACTCAAAGTGACCTCCGTGGGTCTTAAATGCAGTTTTATGAATATCACCATCCTCCATTCGTACTTGATTATATCCGGACCGTAAATCAATTTTAGAAAACACCATAGAACCATGTAACTCATCTAACAGATCATCCACTAAAGGAATAGGAAATCTATCCTTAATGGTTTGTTTATTAAGGTCTCGGTAATCTACACAAAGTCTCCAAGAGCCATCTTTTTTTCCAACCAAAACAACAGGGCTAGCAAAAGGGCTGCTACTTTGCTGTATGATACCAGATTTAAGAGAGTCTTGCACCAATTTATCAATAATATCCTTCTGCTGTTTAGCATACCTATAGGGCCGCTTGTTGATAGGATTGGCGCCTGTAACCAAGGGAATTTTGTGATCATGACCAGGTCGTGTAGGAGGCAGAGTGGTAGGTTCTTGAAAAATATCATCAAATTGCAACAATAATGCCTCTATAGAGTTAGGAATGGGCTGGCAGTCCGCATGTGTAGTCAAGGAGTGGAAGAGAACATCGTTATCCTGGTCACACAATTGCAATAGGGATAAATGAACACCACCAGTAATTGTTTTCTGCAACTGTCTTTTTCTAGCAGTTTTCAGCCCACTGTCAGTAGTACCTCTCAAAACCATCCTCTTGCCCTGGACAAAAAATTGCATAGTCAACTTATCAAAATTCCAAGTAATGTCTCCAAGGGTAACCAACCATTCAATTCCTAATACCACATCACAGCATCCTAAAGGAATTAGAAGCATATCTGAGGTAAATTCCCTATTGTGCATTGTCCAAGGAAAATGTTTAGCAATAGCAGTGATGTTTACTCGAGCCCCATCAGCCACTGCTACACTTAAAGGGGAAATAGCAGTCAGCGGATAGCCCAATTGTTTAGCTACTGACTCATCCAAGAAATTATGGGTACTGCCGCTGTCAATGAGTATATGCAGGGGTTTCTTCTTAAAGTAACCAGTCACCCTCATAGTGTTGAAGGTTGCGATACCAGTCAAGGCATTAACTGATATGTGAGGGTCCAAGGAAGGATTATCATCTTCGTGTGTATCATCAAGCTGATCGACAAGTTCCTCCTCATTGTCACTTACCTCTAGAACATGAATCTCCAATTTCTTATGTGTCAAAGCATGGGCAGGGCTGTAAGGTTCCTCACAAAAATAGCAAAGGCCCTTTGATCTCCTCTCAGTCATAAAAGCAGGAGTGAGTTTCTTATTAGAGTGTCGTTGGTTTGTCTGTGAGTCAGGTGGTTTGTTCAGAGGTTTCGGTGTAGGCAAAATGGCCTTTGTATTCGTATATGCACTCGGGGATTTAAGAGAAAATTTGGGCGGCATGCTTGAAGCAGAAGCGGACTCATACAATTTAGCCAAATGGAATGCCTTTCTTAAATCCTGGGGTTGAAACATTTTGACAGTCAGTTGAATATCCTTCTTCAAACCGCCTAAGAAACAACTCAACAAATGGTTGTCACTGAGATCCAATCGAGAAGTTATAACATCAAAATGATCATGATATTCAACCACAGAACCAGTTTGCCTTAATTTCATAAGGTCTGACATCGGGTCATCATCGATCTCACCAAAACGATCTATCAATATACGAGTAAAGTCGGTCCAAGTTGGAAGGTGACCGCCTGGAAGAGTCTTAATAAAAGAAGTATGCCACTGCAGTGCCTTTCCTTCAAAATGGATTACCGCTAATTTCACACGAAAATCTTCCGGAGTGCCGTCAATCGCAAAGAACGTTTCACACTGATAAATCCACTGTTGGATTGCATCACCGCCAAAGCGTGGAAAATCGATTCGAGCCAAACGGGTGCCACAAGAATAGGTGGAGTTCGAGTTGCGGGCACCTCTAGAATTAGTATTGCGCCCTGAAGCATCATTCCCAGAGTCAGAGGTCTGGTGTAAGGTCTCCAAAATGCGCCGATCAACCGATGCTTCAATTGCTTGCCGAATTGAAGCTGTAAGCTCAATTAAACGTTCGTCGAGTTTCGAAATAATTTTGTTCTCTAATCGCTCCTCTTGTTCGCGCATTGCTGCTTGAAGACGAGTTGCCTCTGCCATAAGTGCCGATGGAAGGTCCAAGCTGATACCACTGATATAGGAAGTCTAGGAATAGAGATTATTCGAAGAACTTCAAGAATTTAGGGATTCAATTGAATCCGAACCAGAGAATTTGAAAAGAAGAAGTTGTTTCTGTGGCAAGAATCGTGCCTCTCCTCTCCCTCTGAGAAGAGTATTTATTTGAAAACCAAAAGGGATAACAAATTCTACTACCTTCTAACAGAATTGCAACAGAAGTAATTAAAGTATTTTGCCACGTGGAACCACGTGCCTTTTATTTAAATCCCTATATCACTCTCACTCACTACTTTCCTTCGTCACTTTTCATTACAAAAATATTTAATTATAGTAGGGTTTTTTTTTGTGGTTTTCAAAACTGTCTCTAGTTTCTGGAGCTTTTAAAAAACAATCTACGAAGTTTTAATTTTTCTATTCAAAACTTTTTTTAAACATAACCGCAGTTAAGTTTTCTATTTTAAATTTTTTAAATTAATTTTTTGGCGATTTTTCTGCAAACCGCCGGTAAGCACTAGTATATATTCACAATCCCTAGTTTTCCCCATTTACTACGTCACTGTTTTCTTTTTTCATCTTCTGGTTTCACTCCTTCTTCTCCACCACTTCACATTCGCTTTTCCTTCTTCCCTTCTCATTTTCCCTTCTTAGCTTCCCTTCTTCTTATTCAAACATCTCACCATCTTCTAAGTTCTTTCAATCCTTCTCCAATCGTTATTGTCGGCTCTCACTCACTACCTTCCTTCGTCACTTCTTTAGGTTAGATCACTCTTTTTCTTTTTTTTTTATCTCTTTGTAGTTTGTATCGCTTGTTTGTTCTTTCACACATGCGAATCAAATTTGTATGAACTTAATCGATAGCCACAAAAAGCACAACCCTATGTCTTGCACGAAACCACCCGCGGCGGTGAATCCAGTGTTGGCAGAGCTGCCAACAACGTAACCCGTAAGCTATTGATGAAATTTAATTTGTTTCTATTGATGAAACTTAATTTGTTTTTTTAAAGCATTTCTAACACTTCCGATTTCTATAATGATAAGGGTTTCTCTACTAGAATCTCAAATAGCACTACTCTAGAAGGAGCAAGCAATGGTTTATTTAGGTGGTATAATTGTTGGATTTGAAATTGAAAGCATTGATGATCTAATATACTTTGCAAATGCATTTGGAGCAATCCAATTAAGGTATGAACTGGAACTACTTCTTACTTGTACACTGTTGCCTCTGAATTTTTTTCATTATTATTTTGTTGTTGTGAAAGCATTATATGGCTTGATTCAAGATTCACGACCATTCATGTGATGCTATTGTAATGATTTCTTAAAGTATGAGTTCTTTGATATTTAGGAAATTTTTTTTATAGATGTACTTGCAGTTCTTGATAGATGATGGAGCACTCTGCCTCCATTACATTTTCCTACCATGTCAACATCAATCTTTCCTTTATTACAAGAATTGCTACACGAAATTTATTTACCGTTTTTCTTTTCATTTAGCTTTTTGTTGGGTTTCTGTGCTTTTGATCGACTGAGTGGATTCCACAATTTAGGTTACAAATTTTGAGTATGTTGTTAAGGCTGAAGCTGCAACAGAGGAGGTTGTAGGAGTTTAGTGTCATGGGAAAAGGGAAGCGTAACCAGAAGCTGGTATCTAATCCTATTATTTATGCCATTGTTTTCTTTAATTTATTTATGCTTCTTTTATCCTATTTTCTAGCTAAGCATTAATATTATTGATATATTGTGATTTATGTAGCTAACTTATAATGGAATAAACTTATTAATATGCTTCATACTTCGAAAGTATCACCCTTATGTTTGCAAATAGTGTTTTTAGTGTAACAAATTTCTTATATTATTTGTGAAAAAGAGAAATGAAGATAGAAACTTTTTCATCAAGAAAGATTGTATCTAAGGATTCTAATACCAAATTGGTGGTTGTCAGGTAAACCAATGCTGAATTGGGGCATTAGGAAGCACATTTCTTTGGGAGCAGCAAGAGGACTATTGTACCTTCATGAGCAATTTCCATAGTGAGGGGCATAAGACAACACATTGCTTTGGGAGTAGCAAGAGGACTATTGTACCTTCATGAGCAATTTCTACAATGAGGGGCATAATGGGGCATATTATTTGAATATTGTTGTCTAGTAAGAAAGGATATCAAGAGTGAATCCTTAATGTTACTAACCTTGAATGCGATAAGAAGAATTATGTGAGACATCATTTGATTATTATCTATGATTACAGAATGGATATGTAAATGGTTCACAGTCTTGGTCATATGGTTTAGGTAGCTATAAAAAATGTGGAAACTATTTCGTGTGAGAGTAAATATTTTATATGCTTGTTTTTCTTTAATAGAAGTGGGATTTAATTTAATATATTGCCTACTGATGTAGCTGGTTATCTTCACATAATCAATCAAATGAAGGAGCTCATAACTGGAGCAGGCAAGAAGGCCTATACTTTGCTTATGGGAAAGCCAAACCCAGCTAAACTTGCTTACTTTCCTGAGGTGAAATTTACTACATCCGTAGTATATATTTCAGTCTGTCTTTTTGTAAAAACTTTCTAACATTTATATATTAACAATTAGAAAATTATTTTCTCACTTATATATATACTTTATGATATTTTCTCACTGATGTAGATATTTTATGATATTTTTCTCATTTGAATAAATTTACTTTACTTAGGAGTGGAACACATATTGATCACTTTGTCTTAATAAAGCTAATGCATACCATTAATATATTAACAACTAATTATTATTTTATATTGTAGGTATCTAAACAAATAAGTATATTAAATGATGAAGTGTACCAAATGATGAAGGTAATGAAGATCATGAACAACATCAAAATTGATGATTATAATTTAGAAAATGTTTATTGTAATTTTTAAGATTGAACATGTTATTTCTTAAGTTGAACAATTAATTGTATTTCTAACATTTACAGTTTATTTTATGTAATAATATTTAATTTTGGTTTCAGATTCTGGTTTATTACTAAAATATTTTTTATGATCATTAAATTCATTTAAATAATAAAAAAAATTAAATTATTTACATTACCGGCAGTTTTGAAAATCCCAACTACGAAATTCAGTAATTACCGACAGTTTTGGGGAACTCTCACAAGTACCAAATCTCAGCAATTACCAGCAATTTTCATAAAAACCCTGCAAATAGCAACGATTTTCAGAAAACCCATGCAAATAGCGGCGATTTTCAAAAGACTCCGCTAATAGTGGCAATTTTCACACATAACTACCAGAAAATATTTGTGACGGTGCTTTTCCAAGTGATTTTCCCAACCATGGGAAATGTATTTACCAGAGGTTAAAACCGCCGAAAATATAAAAAAAAATCTTGGTAAAATTTTAGATTTCTGTAGTGATACAAGAGTAAAATAAATAATTTGATGATAAATAACTTTAACATCTATCAAAATTTTACATCATTATTAAAATGTTTTCTCGCATAATTCTTAATTAACACTTGTTTTCCTAGTGCATACACACATTAAGGACATTATCAAAGTATCAAGTGTTTTGGAATTGAGAATTTCTTTTTGGCAATTCTTTCATTTATTTTTCGTTTAATGTTATTGCATGCTTTTCATTGAATTTTTAAATTTGTGCGAATTTAATATTTCTATCATTCTTGGTGTTGAGTTTTCATGACTTAGGAATTGAGTCATTCTTGCTTATTTTGTGTAATGACTAGCATTTGCTTAAAAATGTATTCTTTATTATATTTCACCATTTTACCTAGGCATGGCCAAAATTATAATTAATGAATATTTTTTTTTATATTTCACGACATGCAGTTTCAAGAGGCATGTCAAAATTATGTAATGCTAAAAAATATCAAACCTCAGAAAGGCTTTGAGTCAATAATTATATAGAATTTCTAAAATCATTGATGCAGTTTATTTTTGCCTTTCTAAAGAGAGCATTTCTATACATAAGTCATGTTAAATTAAGATTCTTCACCAGAATTTTGAGCACTAGATGTCAACCACACTACACATGAAAACTTATTTTCATTGATATATCGAAGTGAAATTATCACTCATTTTTTTTATATTTGAATTTTTGTGAGAAAGTTCATCCCTGAAAAATTGAACTTATTTTAACAAAGTGTATATTTTTCAAAATATGAATAAACATTTCATTTATCATCATTTACACAAACTTCACAATCTACAAAACTCTTAAATTAATATACCTAGATACATTCTTCACTACACATGAAACATTAATGGTATTTTCTATAATTTATCATTTCATCAAACTAAAGTGATTCCTAAGTAAAACTAGGAATTAGAATTAGGAAGACATTGCCTCAATATTTTCTTCTGCAGGTGGTGGTGGTAGCGTGTTAGATGACGCAGAACCATCAGCTTTTGTAGCTGCTAAAGTACTATATTTCCTAAGCACCCTATCTTTGTTTTTATTCCACCATTCTTCTGCTTGATGTTCATGGAACCTTCGTTTACTACACAAAAGATATGTATAAATATATCTTCAAAAACTAATTAAGAACGTGAAGATAGGAATAATTACAAAAAAAAAACAATATCATGTCACATAAAAGAATTCTCATAATCAACTAAGAACTTATGTAAACATGATAACATGGAAGAATGAAAACTATTTATTACTTAGTGACAAGAAAAACATAAAATTTATCAAATTTTGTGAATTTTATTTATGAAATGAAGATCACATATATAGTTGATGGGTTGCTTGCAAACCTAATAACGTATTCATCATTCATGCAATGTATTTATTAATCATTAACATATATAGATGCTATTATTGTCTTAGTTTACTCACAAGAACACAAACAAACTGAGTATACATACCCACATTTTCATATAAAGATAAAACTATTGCTAAATTTATAAAGTTAATGGTTGTATAACAATTCAAACATAACCAGAATGCATGTTGAGAAAGAAATTGAAAATTGTTGCATATAAAAACTAAATAACGACAGTACCTGAATCTAACTCGTTTGAAAGCCTTGATACCATTAGGCTTTACTATTAATGTTACATATACACCAGGTTCAAACTGTTCAATGACTTGTGTTTCTCCTTCTCTCATTGATCTTGAAGGTTCTCTTAGAGAGTTTTGTAAAGACATGGATGCTTCATTATTTGATAAATATGAGTTGTTACTTTCTTGAAGAACATTTCCTTCATCTCGTGATGATGATTCAACTCCTTCAGTTTCACTATTTTCGTCTTGCAATTTAGAAGAACTATCATTTGAGTCAAGTTTATTAGGAACATTTTGTTGTTGAGAATTGTTACTTGGGGATATGGAGGGCATTTCAGATTCTGAACTAACTCTCAGAAAATCTTCAGCTCCAGTAAGTATGGTTTTCCAATTTTCACTTTCTAAAGTTTCTGGTGGCAACTTCTCCACCATTTCCTTCAACTGGATAAAAGGAAAAACAGATAAACTAAGTCAAGATTATATAAGAAAAGTTGAGGAGTTGACTTATGTTTTTGTTGCTTTTCATCCTCTTTTCTAACTGAAATATTCTTATTAAATGACATGATTAAGAGGGTAAACCTAAAAACAATTTCAAATTATGCATTTAAGTATGTTTATAATTTACATGATAAACAAATAAACAAGTTATCTAAATCATCTACGTTTATTACTTTTGTCATAAGCATCTATGCAAAAAACAAGTACATTAATAAAGGATTGGACGTAAATTGCAGAACATGTATATGATTCAAAATTCATGTTGATCTGTTTATTTATCACGAGGCAACATTTGGAGCAATGAAAATAAAGTTTAATAAATCCTCAAGTTTAAATACAACCTTGGAATATACAAAGCAAAAAATACCTGATCTACGGTAGAGTTAAAAAACTCTTTCGTAGTTTTATGTTTTGAAGATTCGTCTAGAGCTAAGGAAGTAGCTTCCCTAACATTTTTCTGAAGCTTTGCAATTTCCATTACTTGTTTTTGCTTCAAAGTTCGTAACTGAATGAAAAGAATATCCATAAAAACATGTTAATGATGTCATGTATGTATTCTTTCAGTGATATTCAAAGACAGTGCAGTAAATTTACCTGGTTTTGCAGCGTTGAAACTTGTTGATTTAGAAGTTCATTTGACTTGTTCAAACTTTCAATGAGACTTCTAGAAAATCCTGTTCGAGAACGTGGTGAGCTTGACCTTCTTGTATGAGGAGACGATGGTCTTGCAGGTGAAATTGGTGGTGGATTAGGAGATAAAGCAGACTTCATAACGTTTTGAGAGGAATTCATTGAATTTGAAAATGTAATCTCATTCAATTGTAGAAGTGTTGGAATTTGGGAAGATGCAGACATGGAAGGATAACTGCTTCCCAGCTTATTAGTCAATATTTGATGATATTTTACTGGTTCTGTGATTGGAGGCAAAATGAGTCTTGAAGACTTAATTTCTCCAGTGCCAAATCTTTCCCTTGAATCCATGGAAGAGCGAGGTGCAGAAGTAGTAGCAGTAATTTTTCTATTGAGATTTGCACTAGCACATGCCTCAACAGCTTTGAGTTTATTATAACAAGAGTCACACACACGATGTGGTTTTCCTGGTGTTGGAGCCAAGGCTGCTTTTAGTACTTTTCTTGAACTGCAACCATGACAATGCACTAATCCACAATTATAACAATTATGTCTCTTTCTAGTGAAACCAAATGGTTGTCTACAACCAGTGCAAATAGATTGGTCAACTCCAGACACCCATTTATGAATGCATATGCAAGATGTAAAGTTTGAGCCACATGAAATATTCTTCACATGTCTATCTTTCAAGGATTCCACTAATGTTGGAGACTTTCTATCTTCTATGTCTCCATGTCCCAATCTTCCATTAGCACCTTTACCCCATGTATATAGTTCACTTCTTGATGTTAAGGCTGCAACATGATGTGACCCACATGATATTTCCTCAACAAATTCACCCACTAACTTATCTTGTACTAGGATAGGTACTTTTCCATCAGCTAAAGGATTTCCCAATTGACCATTTTCAGTGTTTCCCATGGTGAAGACATGACCAGATGTAGTGAGGGCAACAGTCATTGTGTGCCCACAAGCTATTTGATGGAAGTTGTATTCAATAAGTGTAGAGACACAAGTTGGTTGAAGGTATGTTTCCTTATTTCCATGTCCCAAACGATATTTGTCACCATCTCCCCAAGTGAAAAGCTTTCTGGATAAAACATTTGAACCAGATTGAAAAGTAACCTCTACAATGGCTGCAGTATGCCATACTCCACATGAAACCTTAATAGTTTTCAATCCACTTAACAATTGCACCTCTTTTGGATATGATACACTTTGTCTATTTCCATGACCCAATACACCAAATGTTCCATCACCAAAGGTAAAGAGTTTCCCGTTAGAAGTTGCTAATGCAGAATGCCATGTGCCACATGATATAGATATAACTTGAAGCCCTTCTAGAGGACCACTAACCTTCTTTGGTATCCAATGGCTGACATCAGTTCCATGTCCAAGAAGTCCAACATTATATGTACCATCACCCCAT